TGGGGATCGGGACCTCCACTTTAGGGAGGTCGCCAAAGTTCCAGCCGGAGGCTCGCTACGCCTTTTGATGTTTTTCAAGTGTAACGGTAAACATAATATCACATGACACCACAGTCGTGTTCTAAATGCTCCAGTCATTTCATTCAATTTCTCTGATGAAAGCAGCCGTGAACTATACTTCTCACTTATTCTACTGGGAGGAGGAAATACACCCCCATGAATAATTCTGATATATGCCTGATATATTCTGATATATCTGATATAATCTGTTGTTCTGATCATATCCTGAATAATACTTCTGTACTATTCTGATATACCATCCTGATATATCCCTGGATAATATTCTGATATAATTACTGACTAGCGAGCGTCTTAGTATTAAAGTTGAATTAGCTGATGATCAGCACTCTCAACAGGAGTCGTAAGTTCTTCCTCGTTTTCTCTAATCTCTCACCCCCCACCAACAACAACGGAGGCGCGCCCGCGCGCGCGCGCGCGCGCGCGCACAGACCACGACGCACGCAGATTAGAAACGAGGAGAACTTCGAGCGTCCTGTTAGAAGTGTGCATTCATGCACTATTCACCTTATAATAATAGACGGCTTGCTATCAGAATATATCAGATAATAATATCAGGATATAATCAGGATATACAGAATATATCAGAATATATAGGATTACTTCAGAACCTAAACAGAATATTCTAGCGATATATCAGAATACAGTATCAGGATAATATTCAGAACTAGTATATCCTCCCTCCAGTATGAATAGTGCAAGTATTAGTTCACGCCTTGGCTTTCTCCCAGAACAATGAATGAATTACTGAGATTTAAAGACGACTGTGTGTATTATGTTTGACTTCATCACCTTAAATGAAAGAAGCGCGCGTAGCGACCTCCGGTGAAGCTTTGGCGACCCCCCTAGTCGAGGTCCCGCATCCCAGCGTTGAATCCACTGCGAATCACCGTCGTTTACATGTTTTCTTGCATTCCAGTAGCTTGCCCTGTTCAACTGCGATGCACGATGAAATCAAGTGATTAACAGTCTATATAATTAACAAATAAAGAGACACACTAAAATGAGCGCAGAGGGGCGGGGACTCTAGAAGACACCCCTGGCTGCTGATCATGGTCCAGTCCTGAACTCTGGGTGTCTGTGTTCAGATTCTCCCCGACAGAAGGCAATGGGTGGAATCCTACACATCCTGCTTGCTCTTACAAGGCACCCACAACGACATCCTCCCCAAGATGGGTCAGTGACCTTTTTGTCTAAGCCCTTTGACTTTTGATCCCCATCAAACATTATAAACTGAGTCATGGTCTCCTCCTCCTCCTCCCATCCTCCGTCCCTCCTCCAGTGTCCACCCTGCTCAACCTGCGGCTTGTGTGAGTGCCGGACTCGGGAAGCATGGTGCTCGGTGGCGGAGCTTCCACGGGCCAGGCCCCTGGCTGCATCGCCCTCAGCAGCCTACGCTGCGGCGGGAAGCTGCAAAGGCCGGGCGCAATGCAAGTACCCAACAACAACATCCAGCAAAGGGAACGGACTCGCGGCCTCTACGGGCGCGTTCGTCTCTCTGTGTGAACGCGGGAACTGACGGGCCGGCTGCGTGCGGTGAAACACGGGACGTAAGCGGGAACAGACAGTGCTGAAGCCTGGACACCAGACGGACGTACACCACACCTGCGATGGATGTCTTTCGGGTGTATGCAAACCCAGCCGTCCCCACCAGTGTCCCCTGCCACCGGACAAGACATGGCAGGCGTATTGGGGGTCTCCGGTTGTTGAATTTTTTGCGCACCCTCTCATGCCGTATGGGAAGTAAATTTCCGCCTTGTGTACCTCCTCAAACAACACACAAGCCACCAGAGATTCCCCACACATCAACCGAGAGCGCAGAAATATTAATCCGTTCTCATTGTGGAATACCGGCGTCATGGACAGCAATATACAAATTAATATGCCCACTTTGAAAGAATGTATACGCGTTGCCTACTCCGAGGAGAAAAAATTATATGATGGGGACCATCAAATGGAAGTAGGATTTTTCTCCTAACGTGTGAGGTTATAAATGGTGAAAAAAATTGGTTCAATATAGAAAATTCCTAATAAAGAAGAAAAACCACACATGCATTTTATGAATACTCATTTGTGGGAAATGCTTGGAACTCTTAACCCTCTCGTTGTGGGGGACCGCCCTTTTTGCCCCCCACTCCATTCTGAATGTAGAGACGAAATGTGACATAACCAGAAAGAACAATGACGAGGAAGCGCGCGCGCGAGGATTATACAAAAAGATAGGCAATTCGCCCCTTTATTTTTCTCCAGGAAATATTTATTGCGAAGGATAAATGAAAAATAATTTTTTTAAAATATTGGGTTTTTTTAATTAGAAAATTTTTTTTTTGGAAAACCAGGTCAGTGCGTTCCTTCAAATATCAATATTTATCACATTTTCCGGGTTTCTTATACAGGCAATATCTTTTATAATGATGAAATGTTTGTATGGGTTTTCCGTATAAAATTTTTAAAAACAATCAATATAGCGGCAACAAGAACTGAGTCGATAAGTATTGTTCTAGATCAAACAAAACGTAACCCAAGAGGAGGAAAAGAACTGTTTTCTTTTCCTCACCTAATAATTTATTCCCCCCCTATAATACATCCGTAATCTATAACAGGATAATGTATTGAGCAATCCAACAAAATATCTTTTAAATAAAATAACCAACCTCAAGTACCTGAATTCCTGACAAATACCTGAATACAGTCACAATACCAGAGATGTATACATCAATGCAAACATAATAAATCCAAAAGAAAAGCCCATTTTGTAAGGTTTGCCCATGTTTCCTGAAGCAGAGGTGCGAAAAAAAAAATGACAGATATTTTTTATTACTTTATCCCTTAGTTTTTTCCACGAATATAAATAAAAACATTGATATGAAAATGAAGTAAAATTAATAAGGTCAAGGCGAAGTCCATCCAACAGGAAAACCAGGATAAGGTTAATGTAGTAATTCAAATTACAAGAACACGCAGATCAGGTTGATCCACTGATACCGTGTTTACATGTCTTTCTTGCATTCCAGTAGCTTCCTGTTCACTGTGACGATGAAATCAAGTGATTAAAGTTAATAATTATAAATAAAGAGAACATAAAATGAGCCAGAAGGGGGCGGGACTTAGGAAGACACCGGCTGCTGATTGGTCCACAGTCTGAACTCTGGGTGTCTGTGTTCAGATCGACAGAGGAATGGTGATCTACATCTGCTTCTTTAAAGGAGCCACAGACGACATCCTCCCCAAGATGGGTCAGTGACCTTTTTGTTAACCTTTGACCTTTTGATCCCCTCAACATTATACATGAGTATGGTCTCCTCCTCCTCCTCCTCCAGTGTCCACCCTGCTCAACCTGCGGCTGTGTGAGTCCGACTCGGGGAAGATGGTGTCGGTGGCGGAGCTTCCCGGCAGCCTGCTGATCGTCCCTCAGGCCACGCTGGGCGGGAAGTGCAAAGGCCGGGCCATGCAGTACCACAACAACATCAGCAAAGAGGACGGACTGCGGCTCTACGGCGCCTTCGTCTCTCTGTGTGAGCGGGAACTGACGGCGGCTGCGGTGACGGTGAAACACGGGACGTACGGGAACAGACAGGTGCTGAAGCTGGACACCAACGGACCGTACACACACCTGATGGAGTTCTGAACCGTCGTTAATGTCTGACAACAAGGCTGCAGACGTATTGTGTTGATTTGATTTATGTGTTTGTGATAAAGAAACAGAGTGACACACATCTGGAGTTTGTCTTTGATTCTAAAAAAACACCAGTTTGGTGTCAGATTTAATATTTTATTTAGATTAATTTAAAAAAAGAACAAGTTCAGTGTGGAAAAGAAGCATGTATTTTGGAGAAATTATAAATATCTTCATTTTGGGGTTTTTTCAGGCAAATATTGATAAATGTGAATGTTTGTAATGTTTTTATAATTTTTAAAATAATATAAATGTTAATATTTCTCTAGATTCACCCCCGTACAGATGTTTATTTTATTTTAACTTGATTTAACCGGAGTCAATTGAGATCCAACAAATACTAACTAACAACTAATGTAGAAAAACAATACAGTTACAGAGATGTATACATAATAAACATAATACATCAACAACAGTGTGTGCAGGAATAAAAAGAAATAACATATTAAAAATAAAATAGTATAAAAAAATAAAATAAATCACAAGGAAACACCAGAAATATTGTGTAAATTCACATAAAAGCCAGATTATAAAACATTTATTCAACCTTTTGAGATCAAAATCTTGTTTTTTTTTCCTCCTGAATATTTATTCTACACAAACAGAAGAAGATAAAACATAAAGAGGGATTAAACAAACCTTTTAAGAGACATTAAAACAGAAATATAATGTAGTACAGAGTGAATGCGGTGCTCTCCTCCGGGCAGCAGGGGGCGCTCTGCGGTGTTAGAGGAAGAGGAAGTGAACAGCACTCGGTTAACTCAATTCACAGCAACCACACTTCCGGTGACAGGATTCAGGGACAAAATAAAAGCACATCAATTAAGAACTACATTGTAAATTAAAGCTTTTACAAAACTGAAACCTATAAATGTAATTTGCATTAATTCTGAGCTCTCTGTGTGTCTGTGTGATAGAAGAGAAGCAGAATGATGTTGTTATATATTGGCTTTCTTAGCTGAAAAGTTGCATAGTTTATAGTCATATTAAACATTATTTACTTAGCTTAAATTAATTTTGGTTTATATTTACATTAATTTATATAACCACTAATAATAAAACCTATTAAAAAATATATTAAGATGTTGTAAAGAAAAATATCCCCAACTTTCAAAATCAAAAAAGAAAATAGCAATTTAGTTTAATTTATTATTTATAAAATGCAACAGATGTACAAATCTGCTATCAAAGCTTACAAAAAAACACAATATGTTATGTATTTGTTTGATTTTAAGGCCATATTTTAACAAGCTAAAAGTCACAAGCTAAATGTAAACCTTTATTTTGAAAATCCCCACCCCGGAACGCACACGGTTGCTGCAGCTACTTGAAATGTGCACACCACCAAACGTCGCATTTATCCTCTAGTTTGACCTGAAATGAGTAACTTTAGAGAATATATGTGCACATTTAGACGAAGTAAGTAAATTAAACTCGTTGTGAGAAGAGTTGAGGTGAAAATTAACCCGCGGAAAGTTGAGTTTCGGGTAAAAGTTGCTGACGGTGTAACGAGGATTTGTGTTTACCGGACGTAAGATGTTCTAAGGTGGGAAACACTGCAGCTGCTTTAGGTCATAAATGTGTTGTATGGAAAAGATAGTTATATTTTTATAGCATCAGAGTAAAGTGTGCATGTGTGCTTTACAGAGACTTTATAGTTGGAAAAGTTATTTTCTTTATTAATGAATCTAGCTAGTTGTTTATTTTTATATAATTAATCTATTAAGTATTTGTTTATAGTTGGTAAACAATAATTACTAGATGTCTAAATGCTCACAATGATGTTTTATTTTGGCTAAATTAATGTCTAAAGCTCAGATATATTCAATATGAAACAGAGAAAATGGACAAATTTAACATTATTATTTAATATTTAACAAAGCACCAATTGATTATTTGTTGCAAGTAAGCAAATATTTGATTATAGCTGCAACAAAGACAAACTTGCGTTCTTAAAGAATAAATATCAAACAATTAACTGAATAACAGAATTGCTACCAGCTATTTTTTAGACTGATTTTTTAGAAGATCTTCACAGCTTGATTATTATTATTAATGTTGTCTTTCTTTCCCCTCCTCGCTCACAGATGCCTTCTTTTGACTTCATGGACAAGGTGGAGCTCTTTGTGCGGGCAGGAACGTTTCCAGTAGATGCATCAAAGAGTTCAAAGAAAGTGACCAGAGCTGCCAGCAAACACTTTCTCTATAAAGGTATTTCAGAGCTTTAGATCCTCCACAATGTGGTATCGCTGCAGTGCATCGTATCTTTAATGTCTCTGATCTGTGAGCGAGAAACAATTTTAAGTTTTTAATTGAGTTGAAAAGACCTTCAGATTAAATCATGTTTTCTTGTTACTTTGCACCCACTTTATAAGTGAGTAGTGAGGTTGTGTTCTCACTGTTCTTCTTTTGGCGACTTTTATGCGCAATTTAGTGACTGAAATGGTTAAATTTCATGGATATGTTGATCCAGGTCTGTTATATATAGCATGAAATTCCTGGATTAGGGCAACATTTCAAGTAAACTGTGTCAAATTTGTGTAAAAATCAAGATAATTAAACTCTGGAAATGAATGGTTTTTATTTGGATGACAGTTTTATTTATAATATAATCTCCTGTTCTGAAGACTAACAACCTCTGTCTGTAACTGACTGCAGTTCCTCTCTCCGTCCTCCAGATGGCTGCCTGTGGCGAAGTTATCGAGGCCGCCTCCTCCGCGTCGTCAGGAGCGACGAGGAAATGAGGGAGATCCTGACCCGTTACCATGACAACAACAACCATGCCGGCCGGGTCCGGGTAGTGAAGGAGATAATGGTGAGTTCAGAGGGTCAACAGAACCGAACAGCTGAGACCGAATTAAAGGATGTTATACGTCAAAAGAAAAAGCTGCTGTGACAGTGAGCGTGCTCTCTTCCTCCTCTTCCTCCTCTTCCTCCTCTTCCTCGTCCTCCAGTTGATGTATTACTGGGTTGGCGTGACGGAGGCGGTGAAGAACTGGATCAAAGCTTGTGCTGTTTGTCAGAGCCGCAGTCCCGTTGAACCGCACGAGCCGCCCGTCCAGTTCTGCCTGGCCTACGGCTGCGACGCCTCCAGCTACGTTTACCCCAAGCTCAGCTTCCACAGGTCAGACACCAACTTCACTGAGCTGCTCGACAAGTTACAACCTGTTTTATGGAGTTTAATTTTCTGTTGATTCTGGCGGTCCCTATGGACAAAAGCAGTAGTGTTTCTACGGCCTCGTTTCATTGATTTCAAGGGGAATCCGACCTGGTGGCAGTTCGCAAGGCCTTCTTGATTTAAGGCGTGCTAGAAAACTTATACAGAGAAGGTCTGAATGTCAACATTTGGTTCACTTCTGTGAAGAAAAGTAAATGTTAAGTAAAGTAAATTGTCTAATAGAACAATGGCCGAGTGTCAGGGACAAGAAAACAGAATTTGTCCCCAAAAAAAAAAATTCCTATTAAGTCTGTATGATTTTTAAAAATGATTTTAAAAATTATATAACACCGACAGAGAATTGTTTTAAAAGTTCCCTAAACAGGAAATAATCTGCTCAAAATTATTCCAGATCACTCTGTTTACACAAACGTTTTGCAGTTATTGAGTGAATTAATTGTACAGTTCTGAATATTTTGTTAAATATCCATAAAATAGGTCACTTAGTCAGTTTACTCAACGCAATCACGTAATGCAAAAATGTTTATTTTTCAATGAAAGCTGAGCATCATCTGCATAATAATGACAGGAAATCTATTTTCTGACAGCAGAACCCAAATAAAGTGTATTTACGAGATGGAATCAAACCCTCTGTCCTGCAGGTTTCCAAAGGCGGCAGAGCGGCGGCGAAGGTGGCTGGCAGTGGCTCAAAGGGACGAAGGCTCGCTGCGCACAAACTCCTACCTCTGCTCGAGACACTTCGAGCAGTCCTGTTTCACGCTGAGCGAGGAGGGTCAGCTCATTCTATCGCCGGACGCCATTCCCACCATCATCCCTGTGACGGCGCAGGAGGACGAGGTGACACAGAGCAGAACACAGAGGCTTTGTTTCCCTAGCGTATCCCTGGGATCATCTTTTACTGTGACCTGATCTGATAATCCTCTCCGGTTTTCAGGTTCCCGTCCCTTCAGACGAGGACTTCCTTCACTCCAACACCCTGGAAGACCTCCTCTCTACCGCCGCTGCTGCAGAGACCACAGAGCCCTCCGAAGCGGCCTTTGATCACTCTGAAACCCCCCTGGAGCTGCAGGAGCACCAGTACTGCCTCCCAGCTCCCGATCCAGACCCCAAGGTGGTCCACGCAGTGAGGGAGTGCAAGAGGAGGAAGACCGTCATCGAGCCGAGCTTTGCGGCTTACAACCAGATCGCCAGGTAGACATGTGATCAACCGGACCGCTTCATCATCACACGTTACATCATTTTAGTTTAAGTGAGCGCGTGTTGAAATGTTGTGCAGGTATCTGAGCCACAGGATCTTACCGATGCAAAGCAAGAAAAGCAGAGGTGCTTTGAAGAGGATGGCCAAGCGCTTCGGTCTCATAGGTGAGTGGAAAGTGATGAAAGAGCATCACTCACTTTATCTGCCTCCTTCAATCCTCAATGAAGCAGATTACAGGATCACGTTCAACTGAAATCTCTTAATAAACGTTTGTGTTTCAGATGGAGTGTTGATGTACACGCGAGTTCCTCATCCTCTCAGAGTGCCGCGCAGCAGAGAGGAGGTTTGCATGATTTACTTACACTGTGTTATTATTGTTATCAAATGAATCCTGTAGCTACAGCACCTTAAGGTTTGTTGGTCGCTGGTTGGACTGGTGTAATCCACCATTCCTCCCACTCTCTGTGGGTCTGTTCCTAGACATAGTGGGGTAATTTGACTGAGCACATTAATTTAGGAATACGCAATATTTACATACAACACCGAGATAATGAAAGCCTTAAAAAGCCTTTAGAAAGGAATTTATATGAAATAAAGGCAAACATACACGCTGCTGTTCCAGGTAAACTCGATCCTGGAGAAGTTCCATGACAAACAGGGTCAC